CCTCCACCAAAAATAAATGAGTAAACAAACAAACAAACAAACCTAATTACCCCCCCCAAGAAACATCCACTTTGCTGTACACATGCAACTAATATTGTAAATCAACTACACTTCAATAAAAAATAAGAATTAATAAAAAAAAGAAGATGCACAGAAATCAGGAACTTGCCAAGACGATAATCAGGCCCCAGTTCACCACGTTCTTTCTCAAATGAGAACTGACAATTTCAAATGAAGAACTCCAAATGCGTTTTGGGGCAACAGCAGCACGACTGCCATTAGCATTTCATCCACCACAGTGACTCCCTGGGAGGGGCCGGCACTCATTAGGGAAAGGTTCCGAGAGGTCTTCACAAGCCAATCAGGAGGCTTCTCTCTCTCTCACCCTGAGCAGCCCCCAGTGGCACTTTGCAAGGGACACAGGACGGAGCCCTTTTGTGCGCGCCCAGGCTTTAGGATCGGGTGGGTTCAGGTTCAGATCTCAGCTCTGCCACAGATTGTGTGTCCTTGGACACGTCACTTAGATGACTTAAGATTCACTTCTGTCTCTCAGGTGGAAATAACAATACACCAAAACACCTTCACAGGATGAAATGAGACAATGTTTGTGAAATGCTGAACAGAGTGCCTTGTTCAGAGTAAGTACTTAATTAATTCTAGCTATTAGCCCATGGTGACTTACTCTTGTAAGAAATATATATATATACACACACATATACATATATATTTAAGTGAAAGAGAAGCAAAAAATCAATAAGAAAAAATGATTTTCTAAAACCGTAATGCTAAGAAAATTGTGCCTGACAAATTTCTGACAGCATTGCCTTGTGTTTCTTAAAATTTTGGCCTGACATTCATACTATGAAACAATGGGGGAAAAAAAGCTATTGGTTTTGCTTTCATAGTGTGCCCAAGAGTTTATAAACAGCCCCATAATCTGGTTTTTGGAAATCCGATTACATTAGGAGCTGATTTCTAGTTCCTTCCAGTTTCCCCATCCTCATGCCTTCTTGTACACCTGAGATTTTTGGCTGCAAAGACAAGTCCATTTAGAAAGCACCAGTCATGTAGTAACTGGATTGCAGATACACTGGAAGGGAAGATCTTAGATGAGGGAGAAAGAATGTCATTTAATTTTGTAATTAAAACCACTCCTTCTAAAAGTTTTCCCCAGCTGGAGCAGCTTGAAAGCACTGGTTTCCAAGGGTTGAAGAGCCCACTTTGTTTGCATGTCCAGTTTTCAGAGGGCCCAGCTGGAACCCTCCGAGTCATGAAAACATTTGACGTTCAGCCTTAAATAAATCAATCACATAATTCTTTCAGGCTCTTTTAACTAAAGAAAACAACCCACACAGTTTCCTAATGACCAGCAAATCAACTACCCACCTAAAGGAGAACGAATTTACCTGAACAATTTTTATATTTTTCTCTTCTGGAGATTCAGAAGGTACTGGAAAGGCCCCAGAAAGCTGCTCATGCAGGGCGAGCAGAACCGGAAGCATCTTCAGACTGAACATGGTCTTTTCTTCAAAAACTACCCCTCCTGACCTTCCGGCTGCCCCCGCGGGAGCCCCAGAGTTCATAGCATCCTGTGTCACTCACTGCTTTCTTTTGGCCCCTTATAAAGCGTGTCTTCAACAATTGCCCCATCAGGAGCGTGACGCAACACAGGTTAATTACACCCGCGCAGTTCCCTAACGCTGTACTGCCGTCCGGTGCCCCCGCCAATGGGGGAGTCTTTCAACAGGAAAAAAAGGCCAACTTGCTACTCTGCCTTTGGGGTTTTTGGATATTCCCTTTTGCAAAATTGGTCAAGGAAGAGGGAGAGGAGACGAATCTTGCGGTTAGAGGACAGCAGTCACCTCCAGGCTGGCGTTTTCTGGGCAGTCAGGGGCCGAGGCTGTGGCATTGATGCAGCAGGATGTCGCTGGGTCAGTGGGAGGTATCGTGGGGCCGAGGAGCCCAAGCCGAGAACCTCTCACTTACCCACCCTGGTTGGAGGTGAGGAGAGCGTGCGTCCGTGTGCGTGTGACAGAGCTGGATTTGTATGAGGGTCCTAGAGCAGCTCCTGGAGGATGCGGTTTTGGCATCAGTGCATTAGAAAATCCCCAGTCTGCAAGCTGGACTTCCCAGGGCGAAGACGACGAAGAAAATGCTGGTGATGATGATAGTAATGGTCACTGGCTGGGTACGTGCTACGGCCCAGATGTCCACGCTGCGTGCACATCGTCTCTCTCCATCCTCACCAGGCCCTGGGAGGTAGGTGCTAGTCTTACCTGCATTTTGCAGATGGAATCATACCCAGAGACGTGAGATGGCTTGTACGAGACACTTGACCTTGCGGAGAAGCCAGGATCCAGCCCAGGGGAGAAGCTTGGAGCCTGAGCTGGCAGCCATGACATCAAGCCCCGTTCCCTCATCACCCGCCCCAGTGCCCGGCTGGCCCACGACGGAGCAGTAGCTCAGGCCTGCAACAGCGGGGGGACCTTGGCTTGTGTTCACGGAGAAGAAGAGGGAGACTGAGCATGAGGAGGCTTACACTCCCACGGGGAAGGACTGAGGATTTTCAGACAACATGGCTGC